AATGGAAAGCTGAAGAGAGAGGGGGAAATAAAGGTAGGTTGATGCTTGGCTTGGAAGGAGATAGGGTTGCCAACTCCAGGTGGGAAATTCCTGGAGATTTGAAGGATGGAACCTGGAGAGGGTGAGGTTTGAGGAGGGGTGGGACTTCGGACAAGTACAATGCCATAGATGCCACCCACCCAACCAGCCATTCCCTTCTGGGGAACCACTGTTGCCAACCTCAGGAGAGGGGTGGAAATCACTCAGAATTACAACTGATCTCCAGGAGGAAGTGGGGAGGAGATGCAAAGCTGAAATCAGAGGGGCAGATAATGGCAGGTTGATGCTTGGCTGGGAAGGAGATAGGGTTGCCCAACTCCAGGTTGGAAAATTCATGGAGATTTGAGGGGTGGAGTCTGGAGAGGGTGAGGTTTGAGGAGGGGTGGGACCTCAGACAGGTACAATGTCATAGACTCCACCCCCCAAACCAGCCATTTCTTCCTGGGTAACAATTGTTTCCAATCTCCAGGTGAGTGCTGGAGATCACTCAAAATTACAGCTGCTCTTCAGGTAGCAGAGATCAGTTCCTCTGGAGAAAATGGTGGATTCTGTGTCATTATACCCTGCTGAGGTTGTGACAGCACATTGACGCTGAGTGCCCAAGGCCTTGGCACTCTCTCAGAGCCTCTTTCTTGACAATGTCTTATTCCTAATGTATTTATAATGCAAAATTGGAATCCAGTAAGTGTTTAAATGGGGGAAAAACTTGAAAGGATAAGGTCTAGTGGGTGGGGAGAAGCAGACTATCATACAGAACATCCATCCACCATTGGGTCTCAAGAAGGGGGTGTGTGTCTGTGGAAACCTCCCGCGTAAAGATTGCTCAACTCGACGCTAAACATAAAACGAACAATCCCGGGGGACGCTGCTGCAGAACAGGCGGTATTTCCAAATTTATGGCAACATCCCGCCACCGTCATTACCCCTTCTCATGGTTTAGGTGCGAGATGGTGTTGGAATAGAACGCTATTCCATTATAACCTGAAGACATGCGTTTACAGTGTAAAAACAGACGAGATTCATCTCACACACAGACCTCCACAGCGAAATAAGTTTCCGTCTGACTGTGGTTGCGGGCTGTAGTTCCTTGATTTCGGGACGCTGTGCGCATTTACCTGGGAGTAAGTTCTATTGAACTCATTGGGACTTGCTCCAAAATAACCCCGAATTGGATAGGGCTTTGTGCTGAAGCGCTTTTTTTATGCATTTACCACCCTTCTCTTTCGGCCTCCCTCCCTCGTACCGGCGATGCTTCTTTCCCAATTCCAAAATGGCTGCTGAGGTGAAATTCTGCCCACTTGCTAGAGACTCTGCCCAAAGTCAATATGGAATCCAAGAAAGACCGCGAGCGGTGGGCAGCGGGACTACGAAACACTTCTTAAGCCTGTTTCGGGGATTGGGTCTCTAGTTTCTGCCTAGGCGCGTTTCTATAGGCTGCACTTGACCCCGCCTTCGCATTCTAGCTCCTATTGTTGGCTAACGAAAAGGAGGCGGCCGCTTTCGACGATTGGCTATGGCGCTGTTCCCCCCCCCCCCCCGCCCGTACTTTTTCCTCCGTGCCTGAGGCGAGAGCTGTTTCCCAGGCCGTGAGGGGCGGGGGGCGCAGTGCTTTATCTCCTGGCGAGGGAAGGTGGGTGCTCGCGCTGTCTTAGCTCGAGCGGAGGGGAAGCAAGGCGATGTTGGGACCCAGGAGGAAGCCGGCGCGGACCTGAAGGTGGGAGGGAAGAGGGAGATGTGCCGGCCTGGCAGTACCACCAGCTTCTTCAGCCGCTGCCGTCACCGCCGATGCTGCTGAACTGGGGTTAGGTAGGTAAGCTTAACTGGGATAGGTCGAAAGGGTGGAGGTTTAAGCCCCGGGGCACTTTCCGGCAGGTCCTCTCAGAGGCCTGGTTGCCTTGAGGGGAAAAGCGGGCGGCGTTCCTTGGGTGTCGTTTTCCGCACCCGCAGAGAGAATTTAAGAGGAGGAGGAAGCGGCAGCGGCGGCGCAGCCGGAGTTGAGCACCCCCTCCTCCTCGCGCCCAACTCCGTATACTAATTTGCACGGTGCCAGAACCGAACTCCGTTGCCACCGGACGAATCGTTCTCTGTGGGTTCCCCTCATGCTTTCATGGAGGCTGTTGGCAGCTGAAATGTCCTTCCCTCTCCTGCAGCATTTGAGCGGAGGAAGCTGGGCCCACTCTATTAATTATGGGTGTAGGCGTCTAAGCTCCGTTTGTGTGTGTTTGTGTGTATAAAACGCTTGCACTAATAATATATATATTTGGCTCCTCAAGGGAGAAAGTCTTTGTGTGTCTGTGTGTGTGTACACACGCGCACACATATATGGCGCCAGTAAAAGCTGACAGTATGGCCAGCACTCACTCCCCCCCCCATTCATTCATTTTGCAGGTTGGAGCAGTGAGCAAGTTGGGGGAGGGATGGGGCTGTCACTTTGAATTGCTGCTCACTGAATGGTCATTTGTATACAAGTGGGAGAAAGTTTAAATTGTAAGAAGTACTTGTGAGCGTATTGGAAGGGAGGGAATTGTATTAAAAAAAACCCTTACAATAATATTCTGATTTAAAGTAGCTTAAATATTATAAACTAGTATGCACCACAGTGAGCTGTGGTGAGAATTGTTCTTATCACTTTGAGAGATCTGGGCATATTGTGATCAGATTGCAAGTGATAAGTAAATATGTGAGCAGTATTAAGACTCATTCGTGTACTTGTTTCAAAAGGTGTGTGTTCTAGAAGCTGTTTGTTGCAGCTTTAACTGTTTTGCCTGTAGTTCTAGAATTTGATGCTGGCCCTGAACTAGGATGGATTGCCTCAAAGCTGATAGAATATTTTTCAGAAGCATTCATGGCTACTTCAGGTTCACATGCCTTAATGGGATTGATGACAATCCCATCGTTCAAAAAACTATGATGGTATCGTCTTATTCCCAGTGAGTGGTGAAGACTGCCAATTTGTGGGTGAAAGGGAGTAGTGATGAGTAGGTGAGCCATGTGAAGCTGCCTGGCCAGTATACTGATTGGCCTACCTAGAGAAGTAGTGTCTCTTCTGATGGGCAGAAGCTCTCTGAGTTCTCAGGCGGAGAGATCCTTCCTAGAACAGAACTTGATAATCTATTGACTGGCGATGCCAGACACTGAACAAGTCTTTATGTGCTCAAACCTCTGGCACCCACCTGTCCAGTTGTGGCTTAGTGATCAGTAGATCAGTAGAGCTTGTATTTAAATTCTCCTATCATCATAGAAATCTTGAAGTCAGCTTCATATGCGATGAAGTTCTGCTGTGTACAGTTCTTGTTTGGTTGTGAAATAACGGTGACTTAAGTAGCAAAACAGATCTGTATGAGCAGAGAAGCTGGACACTTACAGTGACATGGCTGTGTACACCGCAACTTGCATATGGTTTATGTTCTCTTTCCTATATTGCAGTTCTCTTTCCTATATTGCAGTGGTGTCCATGTATGACATTTGCCATGTCTAAAGTAGCTTCATGGACTTTGCATAATTCTCTCTTCTCTTTGGTTTTGGTTCCTTATCCGCAACCTGCTTCATTGAATTGTTCTGTGAGCATGTGAACAATTACGTTTTATATATTAAAAGCCATATATAAATGCTTAATGTAAGTCTTTAATATTATCCACAAGTATTATGTTAACTCTTTTTAAAGGTCTGGCAGTATACAATCTAATTTTAAAAAAAACTTAGTGAAGGTTTTTTCTATTAAACCGTGACATGTCATAGAAGGGACAGTAACTTGGAATGATTGATAATAACTTCTTAATAACCTACATTAAAAAATCTGAAGACTGCTAATTCAGATGGAGGAATCACCTGTAACAAACACATTATGCACATTCTCTCACAGACTATGCTTTGTTCTTTACAGACAGGATACAATTGGCAAGTATGAATCTTATATTTTGTTGGAGGGGGGAATTTCTAACCAACATTCAGGTTTCGTATTTGCATAAAATATTATTTTGACCCAATAATAGTTATTTTATATTACCCAGCATTTACATGTAGTTTATTTCATGCCTAAATTCTACTCTATTTAACTGTGGTCCAATACACATTTACCTGGAAAACCAATCTTTTTCACTCACACATACACACACACAGACAGACAAAAGGTAATTTTTTCTCTATCACTATTGGGAACTAGCAAAAGTGTGATTACATTTAGTCTCTAGATTTCATTGTAACATGAGTGCCTTATAACCTAATCCGAATGATAAATCCATTGATTTCACTGGGAGCGGCTTTGAACACATCAAGCTGCCTTACTTCATTGGTCCACGTAGTCCATTATCATCTAGTGCTAGGCAGCAGTTCTGCAGAGTTCCTAAAACAATCTTGCTGTGTTTGTAATATTTGTCTTTGAACAGATATACACCTTCTCAGGACTGTCTCAGAAATAGCAGGGTTGTATGGAAGTGCCCAGAGGAAATGTCCATTTATGCAAACACATCTATACATTTATAATTACTAAGGCCTGTGTCAAAAAATTCCTCATATAGATGACAGAACGTTGCATGAATTTACATAGACTGGAAACTGAGGTCATTTGCAGGCAAATCAGTAGATGTTCTTTCTATTTGAAACACGTTTCTGTTACCTGTAAAATTAGTGATATGCACGATGAATGGTGCTTCAGACATCACACATTTTGATTTTCAGAGATTTAGAAAGAGAAGAGTTCTGCGCTGTAAATCTCTGTTGTGTGGTCAGTGTCTTAATAAAACATGGCTTAGAAGCTCTACCTGTAAAAAAAATCTTTCTCAATTTGTGAGACTTCACTCATGACATCTTTTTTCAACAAAGCTGCCAAGGGAAACAAAACAGGGCATTCTTTAAGTAGAATGCTGTGAGTCTTGTGAATACTTCATATAGGCTGCGGTCACATGGAGCATTAGCTACGCTACAGAGACGGAAGATAGGTGGATTTTCCGGGTGCGATCACACCACAACATCTGGGAAGTGTCGAGCTCCCATGGCGAACCCGAGGCTTCCCGCCGAAGATGTGGAGTTAAAAACTAGTATCTCCGAGGTACTAGTTTCCGGAAACCGCGGGGCAAGGGCTGGCGTCTGATCGCGTTTCCGGTGGTAGCATCCGGCGCCCGCCCATGTCCCTTCGCAAACAGGTTTCCCCACCCAAGTCTCCACAAGATGTGCACAAGCACCCAACGGTGCATGCGCAGAAAGAGGAAACCAAAAGTGCCGTTTCGGCTTAAAAAAAAAATGACCCCGTTTTTCATGGCAGCAGCGCCTAGCCATTGCTGGTGTGATCGCGCCGTGCCGCTTCATTGCCACGCTGCAGAATCGTCGTGTGATCGCCACCCTCGTTTACCCGCTGGCGCGGAGGGATGGACCCGTGGTGTGCCGACAGTGCATCTGATCGCGTAATCGCGGATCAAACTGTGCCGGGGCAATTAGCCATGCCTCCCCCCGCGATATCCGGCCCATGTGACCTGGGCCATTGTTATACTTTAGATAGAAATTTTATTTCCTTTTGTTCTTACTGTAAAGTGGATGTAGTATATGTGTAATTCTGAGGGCTGCTATTAAATCAGAGAGAGAGCACAGACTTGAACTGGGTGAAGTCGTGAGGTCAAAATATCGAGCTGCTTTTTGATCATGGGCAAATAGTATGCAAAGGTTCTTAAAGGAAAATAAATAATACAGTGTTTACTTGGAAAACCAAGTAGTAGCAGTGAAGCTAGCATAAGAAGTATTCACTTGGTTTGCACCATTGAATTTTATTAGCATTTTTTTTTTTGGTCTAACAGCTCTAAACTAGTGTGTGTGTGATCATGCAAAGAATTTCAAACCAAAATATTAAAAGCCTTGTTAATAGCTTGACTGGGGTTGTTTACCAATGGTTCTCATTAAAATGTTCTAATTTATAGTTTAATATATAAATGCAAATTGATAGCCCACAGTATCCTAGAGCTCAGTCACCTTTGAAATATCGTTGTGGGACTAGGTAATGGTTTTCATTTTTAAATATGTGGTACACTTAATATTAAGTATGATCCTTCATAGTTGAAAAAGGATTTGAGCCCAGGGCCAAGTCTTATGCTGTATCCATTGATCCATGCTTCAGGTGGGGCTTTGACTTCAAGGCTACTGGTTCATGGGTTGGGGACCACTGCTGTAAACAATATTCTGTGTACAATATTGTGAATATAAAATTTTAGCAACTGTCTGAAGTAATTAACGTGAACATTACAATCCTAATCATACATGCTTAAAAATAAGTCCCAGTGAGTCTGACTTCAGAGTAAACACAGTGAGTCTGAAACACTCATTGAGCAGCATATGCTGTAGAAGATGATGTGGGGATACTGTACATATAATAGTTATGAACCAAGATGTTAATTTTGAAGCTTTTTTGCTTCTCAAGATCTTGGTGATTTTGTTTTCTGAGTGTGCTTGGAGGTTATTGTAAAGAGCCAAAAAGTATACTGTTGACAGATTAAGGCTGTGGTTCTCTATATACTTGGGAGAAATTTCTGTTGAACTTGGGACTTTTTTCTGAGTTAACACACATACTGAGGAGCAGATTGTAGTCTGTTCTTATTGTGACTTCAATAATGTGTGCTTGATAAAGTTATTAACTTTTGTACTGGTTACCTGAAATATTTACTGTCTCACATATGACAAGCAACATGACCTGAAATGAACCAGTAAGTGCTCATCTTTCTGTGACTTACTATGAAGCAAAGCCTCAAACCCAGAGCCTGTCTTTACTCTTTTCTACCTATTCTAGATGCCTCCCAACTTGTCCCTCCTTATCCTCTTTTCACTTTT